TGTACACACACACACACACACACACACACACACACACACTCCATCTATATCCATTATCTATATGTATTTTATAGCCTTTATTAAATTATTTATGTACAATGTGCACTTTCAAAATATTACTTAATTGCTATCTATAAACCTATTTCTTAATTTGCAGGCTATCCGATGCACTCTGGTGAACTGTAGTTGTCAGTGCTTCAAACCTGGAAAAATAAACCAGAGACAATGTGACCAGTGCCGACATGGATGGGTAGCACATGGTAATGCTGTTTTTGTAAATCTGTTTAGGTTCTCATATAGTCCTCCTCACCCTGATATCTAAGTTCCTACTTGTCAATATACTTCACACCTCATTTTGTGTGGTTCTCACCCCTCATGCTTTCTCCACTTTTTATTTTCAGCCCTCAGCAAATTAAGGATCCCCAACCTCTACCCAACTACCCAGGTAGAGATAGTGCAATCCAACGTGGTCTTTGATATCAGTAGCCTTATGCTGTATGGAACCCAAGCTGTTCCTGTGCGCCTAAAAATTCTGTTAGATCGGCTTTTCAGTGTCCTGAAGCAAGAAGAGGTGATACAGATTCTCCATGCACTGGACTGGACACTTCAGGATTATATACGTGGATATGTACTCCAGGTATTGTACTGAAAGCTAAGTCAATATTAAAAAAGGGAGGAACAAAATTAGTCTTTTTAAATGTTTGGTAACTTAATCTTGGTATCAACGGATCATATTGTGCCGCCTATTTCTAACTGAATTCAGAAGGGTATTCTGCTTGAAAAGTTGATGCCATAATATGGTCTAAAGTCAATAGCAGACTTGTACAAGTTTAATGTGGTAACTGCAAGGTCAGGTCATATGTATGTGTGTGTATGGGGGGGTCCTTACTTGGTTGTTATTTTATACTCAAATCCGTCAGACAAATATCTAACTGAAGTCAACCATGATAAAGAAGTTATAGGAACCCATCTAAGCAAAAGTTTCAGAAGTTGCTGAAAGTGTTGTTTAACAAGTAGGTTTTATTTTGTACAGTAGGATAAATACATTTACAAATCAACTTGTCGACATTTAAACACCACAGACTACATTCACCTCTGATGTAACTCTCCAGATTTAACTGGAGCTACACCAAGGGTGAATTTCCCCCTATGTGCTTACATAGATGCTAGTCCTTCCTACTGTCTGGAAATTACCTTTTATGTAAAGTAACATTATGATCTTACATTATGACACAAATCAATATTTAATGGTCTTGATAATCTTGCTTTTTAGTGTTAGGATTAAAAATATGGAATCAATTACCTTGAACCTCTACCACATGAAAAATTTATGATGTTACATTCTTCATCATCTTAGAGACTCTTACATGCACTGTGAAAAATCTCAGTAGGCCATCAAATACATGTTCTGTGATAAAATATTTATTGTAGTTATTGGGAAAAGTTAGGCATAGCTAGAGTTTGAAAGAACTCCAACACTCCAGTGTAATTACAGCTGTGCTCTGTGAACACTGGCAATAGATCAATACAGGTTCATTTGTTCTCTGATCTTAGTTGCTTGGAAGATTATTAAACTTGCAATGAAAGAATACTTGACTTAAATGAGGGGCTAAATTTTGGTCTGATTGCTCCATCTCTGCTATTTGTACTTACATGTTGCTAACTGCTCAAATGACGTGTCTTAATTTTTGTGGAAAAAAAATAAAAAGTAGTTTATTAGAAAGTAGCATTACAAGTTCAGAACGAAATAATATCATCAGTGTGTTGAAATCTGAAAGAAAATGTCATAAAATTGCCATCAAACTATCTTTAAGTAGAGTAATTTTATAGACTTGTTAGAGATGATTTTCTTAGCTCTGAGAAAAGACTCTATAATCTGTTTAAATGAATGTATTACTCTTTTAAATGTGTTCTCTTTTAGGATGCTTCAGGAAAAGTGCTAGATCACTGGAGCATAATGACCAGTGAAGAAGAACTGGCTACTTTGCAGCAGTTTCTTCGTTTTGGAGAAACAAAATCCATTGTAGAGCTAATGGCCATTCAAGAGAAAGAAGGGCAGTCAATTATAGTACCAACCCCTACGACTAATTTGGATATTAGAGCATTTATAGAAAGTTGCAACCCAAGAAATCCTAATCTTTCTGCTTCCTTGGACAAAATGAGTCCCACCAATATTCATCCCTTTGAGAACATTGTAAATAATATGGCTTTCATGTTACCCTTTCAGTTTTTCAGTCCAGTGCCTCCACCTCTGATAGGTTCACCGCCAGAAAGACATTTGATTGAGCAAGGTCAAGACCGCAGCAAGGAAACTAAACAAGATCCTCAAATACCATTTTCTGAAAGCAGCTTCTTAAGTTCCGGTTCTGCTCCATTTGAAGCTGAAAATGAGAAGGGCACCAACAGCCCAGATGTCACTCTTAAAACAGAAGAGGATGCTCCTCTAAGTGATTCTAGCTCCCATAACACAGTAACAAAGCTTGAAATGACATCGTTATCCCCAGAAAATAAAATAAAATCTGAAAAAAATGGCACTGGCCCAAGGAAAGGACGTGTCTTCTGTACTGCATGTGAAAAAACATTTTATGACAAAGGAACACTGAAGATACACTATAATGCTGTTCATCTGAAGATCAAACATAAATGCACAATTGAAGGCTGCAATATGGTGTTTAGCTCTTTGCGTAGTCGAAATCGTCACAGCGCAAACCCCAATCCAAGACTCCATATGCCAATGAACAGAAATAACAGAGATAAAGATCTGAGAAATGGACTGACCATTGCTGGACCAGGAGATAGTAAAAGGACAGACTTTTCCATTTTAACCCCAGAAAGCAGACCAATTACTAGTTATGCCAGCTCTTGTACAGATTCAAAGGTGCAATCCAGTTTTCCCAGCATTGGGCAGAACGGTGTTCTCTTTCCAAACTTAAAGACAGTACAGCCAGTTCTTCCTTTTTATCGCAGTCCCGTCACCCCAGCTGAACTTGCTAATACACCAGGTACTCTTCCCTCTCTACCTCTTGTTTCTTCATCAATACCTGAGCAACTTGTTTCTAATGAACTGCCATTCGACGCACTACCCAAGAAGAAATCCCGTAAATCAAGTATGCCCATCAAAATAGAGAAAGAAACTGTTGAGACAGCTAATGAAAACAGTGACATTGCCAGCTCCGAAGATGATATGCATCTACAGGTGGCAAGTGATGGAGAGCTGGAGGCCTGTGAGCATAGGATAGAAAAGCGGGTGAGTGAACACATGGAAAAGCACCGTCATTCAGGTAATTCATGGAAATCTCTCTCTGGGGTAGAGGGCCCAAAATATTTTGAATCTGTCATTGAGCCAAATAACAAATACATCAAGGAAACCTCTGAAAATGAAATGCATCACTTTGAGAGAGAGGTTAAGCCAGAAGAAAACCAAGCATTAAAAATAGTTTCCCATGAAATTATGTGTGAAGATCCAAACCAACACTACAGTGATGTTAAAAAAACAGTGACTGAACCCCCTGTCTCTTTTAAAGAGCAGTCAAAGCCCAGGATTTCTAAAAACAACTGCCCTGAGTTGCAACACCATTTGCTGATGGGGGGCTTTTTCAGCACGTTGCCCCATGGGGGTGCTGCCCTTCCTTGTTTTGAAGACTATAAAGATATGGATCATGTCAGTCAACATGAAGTAGGGATTCAGAAGGAAGAAAGCCGCTTTCATTGTGACATCTGTAAGAAGACATTTAAAAACCCTTACAGTGTAAAAATGCATTTTAAAAATGTACATCTGAAAGAAATGCATATTTGCACAGTTGAGGGCTGTAATGCTGCTTTCCCTTCTCGTAGAAGTCGAGACAGGTAAGGAAATAATAAACAAAATTGTATTTTTTTTACCATCACAATGGAGCCTAATTTGAAATTTCAATAAGTATTTTGAAGAATGGAGTTGCCAAGATTTTTCTGTGTAACCTCCCGTAACAGGTACAATAACTTATCAGTGCATTCATAAAATGAAAATGAAAGAAAAATTTCCTTCCCACTAGACTACAAAGTATTAAATAAAGCCATGAACATTTCATAACTGATAAAGACAGCAAAGGTTGAAAGAATCCTTTAAAATACAAAGAAAAGCCACAAGGGTGTGAATTTAACAAGTTTTCAGCATTTGCATGTGTGCCATCATGTGTTTCAATATATTCTTTCCTGTGGATATTACTGTACTTTAAAATGTAAAAACTTAGAAGCCAAATCATAAAATCTTCACTTGCCTTTCACTCCGTTTTGCCTTCACTCAGGCAAAACAAGTCAGTAGGATTTTGAATGATGAAATGGGAGGGATGGACAGGGTAAGGACGGAAAGATTTTTCCTGTGCTGATATGAAGTCATCATTGCCCTTTATAATGCCAGTATTTGCAAACATAAAAATTGAACAGCCAATGTCATCCTTTGTGTGTGTACATTATGACACCCTCTATAACAGGTGCGCAATTATTCTGGCTGGAGGGTGAGCTGTTTTAGGCTGGGGGAGGGGGTGCTAACCCATCCCACTGCAGGGATGGTGGGAAGCAGGGGGAACCATTGGTTCTATCCAGCAGGGGCATGTGGGGAGCAGATTGCAGCTCTGCCCCAGGTCCTGGCCCTGTACTATCACCACCCCATGATCCCAACAGTGCCCCTGGCCCCCACCCATCCCACTCTCAGAGGCTGCTCCCTACCTGCTCACAGCCCTATCCCATCCACCCAGCTGAGCACGCCTTGGCTGCAGGGGTCCCAGCTAGTCTCCGCAGAGACCCTGCCCGTCCGCTCCATCTGGCACCTGCAGTGGTGGGTGCATGGCAAACAGGCTGGGGTGCCTGGGCAGCAGGGCCAGGTCCAGCAGTGGCAGCAACACTAGCAGTGGCAGCCAGAAGGAGTCACTGCTGTCAGGGCTGCCGAGAAGCAGAGTCTAGCAGCTGTGCTGCCCCCAACCCATCACATGCCCAGGGGTGGTAGGACTAGCTGAAGTACCCAATACAGGCTGGATAAAATCCCGCAGTGGGCCAGAACTAGCCCATGTGCCATATTTTGCCCACCCCTGCTTTATAATGAGAAGATCATGTAATAATTCCCAAGTAATAAAATAACATGGGTCTGATTCATTCTCTTCTACTCCAGTTTTATGTACCTGCAAATATATTGACTTCAAGCCCACTATGCATGAGTTTTCAGAGACACAGGAACAGAATAGTGATTCTCAGCCTTTTTGAACTCAAAGCACATCTCATTGGACTTGAGGCACCTTCCATAACTTTTGTGAATTGAATGGCACCCAATTTCAAAAACTAATTTATATATATTTTAGTGCTTACTTCCTTGCAGATGTATAGGGCAGTGGGAATGGGGATATTATCCAGGCAGAGACAAACCTAAGCCTGTACTTACCTGCTTAGTTGACTGCCTGTCTCCTCACAGCTCAGGGCACCCTTCAAAGGACCGTACCCTGGCACCTTGGGTGAGAATCACTGAAATAGAAAAATGCTCTCTGTGTTCCACTTCACTATCAAAACCCTCTCTTTGTATCTTTTATTCTGAGATAGTCTGTGATAACTTTGTTAAAATTGATGTGCCTCAGTTCTACTTTGTAATACCACTGTAACTTAGAGTTTCAGAAAGCAGAAAGTCTGCCTGGGTGGTATTCATAGTGCCTTACTTTACATGTGAAGCTAAAGGTGCAGTGGGATTTAATGCACAAATCACACAGTTGCCTCTCCTGATATGCTACACATGCACAGCGGGAGTCACAACTGTGGGATCACATATTAGATCTCATTGCATTTTATTGCAGGTGTAGGGGGAGACAGTTGAGGGACTCCCAGCTACAGGGGTCCTCATTCACTGGAGGATTGTCACAGGGGTGATCCCTATGACCTGGGGGTGTGGGAAACCCCTGGGGCCAGAGGATCATGGTGACCCCTGGGGCCACCATGATCCTCTGGCCCCAGGGGTTTCCTGCACCCTGGAGCCCTGGGAATAATGGGAACTGCAATCCCCAGGTTCCAGGGGTTTCCTATACCCCTGAGCCCTGGGGATTGTGACTTCTGTGATCCCCAGGGCTCAGAGGTGTGGGGAACCCCTGAACCCTGGGAATCATGGCTTCCGGGATCCCTTGGGCTTGGGGGCTTTACACGGGCATGGTGCACAGGACTCCCAACCTCAAAGGAAACCCAGCTACATATACAAATGAAAGCTCAATAACAACCTGCTATAAAGTTAGTACACATTTTCGAGATCTAACTTTATAGCTTATTAGAGTTTTTATTGTGTGATAGCTGCTTTGCATATGTAGCTGGTCTCCAGGTAATTCTGCAATTAACTAGTTAATTGTGCAATACCTGTAACATGTAGAGGGGGCCAGATAACTTATATTGTGTTGGAAGGCCTAGAGCCAGTCAGTGCAGTCCAAGAAGATGATGGGGACATTTGGAACAGTGTGGTTTTACAACTGAGATGCACAGGTTGATCTATGAAGACCCTGATCTGCTGCTTGTCTTTTCCCAGAGGTGAATTCTTTTCCACTGTTGTTGTGACTAATGTATCAGTGAAGACTAATCCGGGCTGTTCATATACAGGCTCTAAATTCTTTCCCAGACCAGTTCACTCTTTTAGGTTTTAACTTGAATTATGATACCACCATCCCCAATGAATACCTATTTTAAAAAGAGAAGCATAGAATGATTCCACAGGAAAACTCCTGAACTATGCATACAACAGTCTGCAGGGAGTTCTACCCTGCGCAGGGAATGCTATAGTCATAAGAACAACGTGTTTTCATCTGTAACTGCGTTTGCATGTGCTAGTGACCTTCTGAACAAGCAGTCTCTTTGGAAGGAACTTTCTGTGCACCGTGGGCACTTCTATACAAGACGCTTAATGCGCAGCAGCCTAATAACACTGCGCATAGCATGCCATACAAAAACCATGCTAATACACTACTGTACGGTAGGTAGTAGTAGGCTACTGCACAGTAAGCATCACTAAAAACAAGTTCGCTGGTGCTACTGCACAGCAACTGTAGTTACTGTGCATTTAGTTAGTACTTCACTGAGCAAGTACTAAACTAAATGCACAGTACCTACCGTGCATTAATGAACATCCAGTGCGTATCAAGTAATATTTTCTCCTTATGTCTGGAAGACATCCTTTCAGCCATTTTTTATCTAAGTGATGGAAAGGAGGAGAAAAAAGTATGTTTCCTGTTATTAAAAAAAAAAAGATCCTGAGCACCTGATTCTCCTTATATAAGAAATGGCCACAGCCTCGAAGTTTATAGTAGAATTGTAGCTAGCCCACAGAAAGGAGCACTGACTTCCTATGTTTAAAGAAATTAAGTTGAGATTGAGCAAAATTATACTTGTTTTGAAAATTGCATACTGTGTAAATACAGCCAAATGTTCTAGTTTGAGTGCAGACATGTGCCCTTCAGGGAGATGTACCACACTGGTGTGTGCAGCTGCAGGAAAGCACAAGTTTATAGTAGTCAGTTGTCTGTTGTTAGCACGTCCAAGCTAAATCTTGTTCCTTTATCTTGGTGGGAGCTAGCTTTTCAGTTTATTGTTGGGCTTTCACCCAGCCCACTTTCAGCTCTCTCTCACTCCAGATGGAAAGGGGTACAGTCTGTTCCCCAGCCCTGTAAGGCCAAGCTTTAGGTCCAGCATCTTAATGAAGTACAGAGCTGCCATACCACAGGAGAGAATCTGGGCCATTGGTATCCATCCTGAGTCATGCTGATACAAGTGAGTTTCTGTGAGGCCAGATATCCATACACATGTATGCATCATCTTCTGTGTACACTTTTGCATTTGCTGAAAGTGGTGTTTGCTTAAAGTATAAGTATACATCTCATGCATGCTACCAAATATTGGTTATTCTTCTTCATTTTGAAACAGCTCCTAAGTGTTGATGCAAAAAATAATCTTTTTCATAAGCTTCTCTTTGTTCCTTTAGACATAGTTCAAACCTAAATCTTCATCATAAGCTTCTGACCAAAGATGCACTGGAATTCAACAACAACCATTTCAATGCAACATACCTCTTGAAAGACATGGCTAAAGAGGTTTGTCAAGATGCATCTTTAAAACATGTTGGACAAACTTCTGTCATCTTCAAAGGAATGAACAGAACAGGCAGCTTGGTTTTTCCAATGAGCAAAACTAGAGAATCATGTTCTGAGAGTTATGGATACGATCCAGTGAATGATGGAGCCGTTCTGGATTTAAGCACTACTTCCAGCATTAAGTCTGAGAGCAGTGCACACTCGTCTTGGGATTCTGATGGAGGAAGTGAAGTATGTACCATGCCATTGGATGATAGTGATGAAAGCTGTGAAGGACCAAGTCTAATGCCCAGTGATGAGCTGTATCAGGACTGTTCCCTACTGGAAAAGGCTAATCAAACCTTTATTAATTTACCTTCCAGTCTACCAATAACTTGTCATATATGCCAAAAATTGTACAGTAATAAAGGAACCTTCAGGGCCCATTACAAAACTGTGCACCTCCGCCAACTTCACAAATGTAAAGTACCAGGTTGCAACACAATGTTTTCATCTGTTCGCAGTCGAAATAGGCATAGTCAGAACCCTAACCTGCACAAAAGTCTGGCCAGGTCACCAAGTAGCCTACACTAACATCCTTCTAATCTGAATTTATTTCCACTAACCATTAATCATTTCAGACAAGAAAGTGTTACAATGAAATTTTTAATTCACTTGACACCAAGCCCACTTAACACACGAGGTCAAATTCTGCTCATACACGGGTGCTTTCCATCAGCTTCACTGAGCAAAATTTGGCACCATTGTTTTTAAGCAGTTATTTGGTTTAACATTAAATAACAGCAAAAACTTCTTTAAGGAAGAAAGCAATATTGGAATGGGGAGAATATGGCACCACTAGCTAGTATTGCAGAGTGCTACTAACGATGTGATGCTGAAATAAGTTATCTCCATTCCATTGTATTCTGTTGTGTTTACATGGTAATGAGAAGAGTATTTTAGGGAGTCAGTGAAGACTGACCTCAATCAGTGTGTGCTTTGGTCAAGCTGAGGATTTAGGAACTGTCATTTCACTCCTAAAACCATTGTCTGAGGCTGACTTACAGTATTAAATAAATGTGGTATTTTTCAGCTTGCTTACTCCTGAATACCAAAAGCTAGCATATGGATTTTGGAAAACTTAGCACAAGATGAGAATTTGCAACAAATCCTGCAGTCACTGATTTCAATTGGAATTTACTTGAATACAAAATGCAGAATTCTGGCCCTCTTAAGCATTCCTTTCAGAGGTTCATCTGCTTAAAATCTGAGAGCTCTTCAGTGTGAAAGAAAGCCTAGCCGTGTTTTGCCTTCGGTTTTTGAACCACAGCAAATGCATCTAGGAAGTATATATAAAAAAAAAAGTAATGCACTTTTTTTGAGCTCAACTTTCAGGAAAAGTAAAGTTTTGCAAAAAGAAATCCAAATGTTAAAGGTATGACTTCAAGCCTGTGGAAGATATGGAGGACTAAACTGTGTAAAAGAACAGTCTCTCATAATTTGGTTTTTTTTTTTCTCTTCGGGGAAAAAAATTATCTTTAATTTTTGTAAAAGAATACATTTATTCCAACTCACACTCTTTTGATATTAGAACATTGCTTGATATCTATTAAAATGTTGAATATCTTTGTATTTGTCACTGTAATTAACAGTATTCTGCATTATGTTCTATGCACTTAAAAAAAACTGGTCTTGCATTGTACTTAATACACTTTTTTGATAATATTTAATTTGTAGTTTGTCGTACCAATCCTGCGTGTGTATTTGTGGTGCAACAGTGTGTTGGACAAAATGTCTAAATAGCAGGAAGAAATGCTGAGGCAGGGTTTACAAAACCAGTTTTTTTTAATTTAGTACATTTCTCCATTTTGAGTCAAGTTGGTTGGTTTCAGTTCACAAGCATAATACTGGCAGCACAATTTGTACATATTATACCAAAGTGCTTAGAGTATTTGTGGTTTCTAGAACTAGGCTGGGTTTCCAGTGTAACTGGATCATAGTCTTCATTCATTTTTGTGATCGAATAAGATTAGACTGAATTTTTGGATTTAGTTTGTAGAAAGAATAGTACAAAGCTGTTGGCATATGTCTTGATGTTTAACTTATTCTAAAGAATACTACAGTATTGTAACCATTTCATATTGTATAAAGGTGACTAAAGCATTCTAAATATTTCACTAATTCTTTTCCAAATTTCATTTGCGCACGTGTGTGTGTATGTGTGTGTGAAAACCTACCGATATATTTGTGTTCATTAGGAATGGGCTTCATACAGTGTAAAGTAATCTTATTTTATATTTACAGTAGGTTTATGTCAAATTGTAATAATCACTAAAACAACATGTTTAAAGCTGTTAGAAAAAAATGTTTATAAGCCTGGGGCCAAATTGCACCATTGCTATTTAAGCAGGAATTAATATCCATAGAGATTTTTGCTTAAAAAACAAAAGTGCAGTCTTTAATGGTACATAAGTCCCTGGTCTTTTGGTGTTACAACCCAATGACTTGTGAGCTATTATTTCAACCTTTTTTATTACTGCTTTTTCTGAAAAAATGTGCTTGCTTAATTTTTAAGGGTCTGTTTGAAACAAAATGTGATGTAAACAAACATTGTAATTCCAGTTATTTAGTTTTTCACTGTTTCCATAAAGGTAACACAATTTGTATACCCTCATCATTTTGTATGTGTTAATAAAAACATATGAAGATGTTTACAGTTCATTAAAAGCAAATAGGTTTCTGGAAAACTCTCCTTCCATTTAAAATTTTCTGTAAAATCAGTCCCTTTACTAAAAAAACTTTTGTTTTGACAGTGGTGATGACTGATGCCCCACAAGGAAGTGTGATTATTTGAATGAGCTATTATAAAGCAAATGCTACCAGGTAGTGTACTGATTTCTCACCTTGCAATGTGCAAGGGGGCACAAGTCATTTAAATATCATTGCCTACCATGCACAGAGGCAAATTACTTAGAAATCACTCAAAACTTTTTTTGGCCTTATCTTTATATTTATTCCTGGCAACAGTTTATATTTCTGGAGACCCTTTTTTGTTATTTGCAATCAGAAGCTTGATGAAGATTCCTAAGACCTCATCTTGTCTCCTTGTATCCTATTTCAGCTGTAGAAATGTGTGATGCTTTGAAGTGATTATTCCCCTCTATTCAACACTGGTGAGGCCACTCCACCTGGAGTACTGTGTTCAGTTTTGGGCCCCCTGCTACAGAAAGGATGTGGACAAATGGGAGAGAGTCCAGTGGAGGGCGACAAAAATGGTTTGGGGACTGGGCAACATGACTTGTGAGGAAAGAGTGAGGGAACTGGGCTTATTTAGTTTAGAGAAGAGGAAACTGAGAGGGGATTTAATAGCAGCCTTCAACTACCTGAATAGTGGTGTGAAAGAGGGTGGAGCTGGACTGTTTTCAGTGGTGGCAGATGACAGAACAAGGAGCTGAAGTTGCAGCAAGGGAAGTTGAGCTTAGATATTAAGAAACATTTTCTCAGTAGGAGGGTAGTGAAACACTGGAACAGGTTACCCAGAAAGGTGGTGGAATCTCTTTCCTTGGAGGTTTTTAAGACTTTAAAGTTTTGGCTGGGATGATCTAGTTGGGGATGGTCCTGCTTGAGCTGGGGGTTGGACGGGATGACCTCCTGAGGTCCCTTCCAACCCTAATTTTCTATGGCTATGTGAAGACAAAATGACAAGCATGTGTGCACAGCACTTTAAAGTGAGCTAAATGCTTTTGCAGCGCTTTAACGGTGTCAGTGTTTGCACGCTGGTGTATTGAGTGTTAAATTACAGCCGCTGTAGCAAATTCGGCAGCATAGTGCACCTTAAATGACTTGGGGCGCAGCACACTAAAACTCCTCTAGGGAGTTTTAGTTTGCTGCCCTACCAGCCACGGAGCAAAGCACCAGGCTCTGTGCAGCTCAGGGGCTCTGCAGCAAGCCCAACAGACAGCCTGGCAGCAGCCTGGGAAGGCAGGCTCTGCCCAAGAAAAGCAGTAAGCCTGATCTCCCCACCAGCCCTTCAGAGCCTGCCTGAACTTTGTAAGGGCTCCGGTACTTCCCTCCGTGGCTGCAGTGCCCCCCAGGACCACCTGAGCCTGGTGCCTGTGGGCAGATGCTGCCAGGGGGGGCGGGGCACTGCCACAGAGGGAAGCACCAGCCCCCACCCCCAGCCTGGGGACCGCTCTGCCCACTGGCGTCTCACCCTTTCCTCCTCGCTGCTGGAGAGGCAGGTAAGTCAGGTGTGTGCATGACATGGGGGTTTAATCGGCCCTAAATTGAAACGGTGTTTTTAAAAACCCATTGCTTCAGTTTAGGGCCCCTGTTTCATCTACACACACCCTGATAGTCTGTGGTTCTGTGACATGAGACATGTCTGCTGCCAGACATAGATAGCAGAGGCAATGCTGTAGAGCTGTAGCCCTACTGATTTTGGAGCGTGTCACTACACTCTTGAAGAGGTCCAACAGCTGTACTCCTCCTGGGGGAAGTATGCCAGGTCCGTTGCTGGTATCACCTGCATAGTTCCATCACAAGCGACTGCCTGAAGCCCAGCACTAGCTCTTCCTGGAACAAACTGCAAACCACTGTGCTGACAAACCTTTCCTGAGTCTTCAGTTAAGTCACAGCAGGGTGAAACTGCTGGAGCAAAACGGAGTTGGCGTACAGAAGCAGGGGAACCTAAAAACAGTTAAGATTGCATCAAAGCCAGAACTGTTTAATCAGGCTAAAAGCCCTCGCTAATAAAGTTTTGATTACAATTCAACTCCTATCTCAGCAATAGGCTGGGTCTGAACTGCAACGTTAATTAAACCCGCACCAACCGGACAAGGATTCCAGTTTGGCCTATGAGAGAGAAGAACTAATTGCAAAATTCCAGCGCATGGTTTGGGTTTGTGAATCAGAGAGACTCCAGCAGTCTGAGGAGAAAGGTGGTTGGACCAAGGACTGTACAGAAGAGCAAGGCAAAGGTTTTGTTTGAAAGAAGAGAACTAGGAGGAAGGGTCTTCTGAGCCAGGAGAGTCTGCAAAACCATAGTGCTGTAGGTGGGAGTGGTGATGTGAAGTGTGGTGAACATGACTTCCTTTAGTCTTAACCCAACTTTGAAGATGTCATAAGACTGTTTTCATATGGTTTGTAGGTTACCCACAAATTTCACTAAACTTAGAAAATATGTGTCTGAGGTCAGATTTGGCTTTTTTTTTCCTTCCCCCATCTCCTTTGGCGTTCTTTAGACTACTAGATTTGCTAGCTTGCAGAAGTACCTTAAAAAAAAAAAAAGACACTTCTTTGTTGAACACTAACTGCGTCAATTCAGGTCTGTGCCCAGTGGAGACCTTACAATGTCCATATTTGTTTTCTTGCTCCAATTACTTTTAAGAAGTTCCTGACAATTGCTGTTTAGTGTAATTTTATCTAATGCATTCTGCATCAATTTAGAGCCCTGCAGAAGCACGCAGGTCAGAATTGCTTACTTGGTATAGCAGTAGCTGCCATCCTTGAAAGAAGAACAGACGAAATGTCTGTGATCTGCATACTACTTCTGTCTGAAGGCATGAGTATTTTGTCAGCAGAAATGTTCCTCTGGAGTGCTCTTCAAATGCTGCATGCAGCTGTGTAGGTGCTCACTGCTCATGTGTGAACTTCATAGTGCCTGAAGTCACCAGCAAAACTCCCATTCATTTCAATGGAAGTCTTTTCTATTAGCATCCCTTTGCAATTTTTTCTTAACTCTTCATTTGTAATAAATTAAGGCACAGTCCAGCTTCCACTACTGTGCAGGTCCTTAACTTTTAAACTATTACATTTTACAGCTTTTCTTTTTGTCTCATAAATAGCATATTTGTTAATAACGTGTTGCTCCTGGCCCCCAACTCTAACACACTTTATTTTAAAGTTCACAAATGTAAGTACATGTTGGAGGTATGCACTGAAGAGCTGAGTATCTTTTAATTAGTACTTGAATATTCAAATCATTGTGCAAATGCTTGAGGCTGGATTATACCCTCAGTCACAGTTCTAAATAAGTCCTGGCATGGCCATGCATTGCCTGAGAAGGAGCCCCAGGAGTTGTCATGCCTTTCAGTGACATTCCTTCTCCCAGGACTACTCAATTATGTGGTGGCATGGATGGGAGGCATAAATTTACTGATACAGCCCGAGTAGGATTCAAAGCCTACTGAAGTCAATGAGACCCTTTTCCTAGCCTTCGGATGAGCTACTG